TTGTCGTAAAAGACATTTCCAGAGAACACCTGAGGTTTGCTCCCAATCATTCCTCTGAGAGAGCTCCATCAAATCTATTATTCCGTTAGAAGTGAACACAGAAAAACCCACCCAGTTACTGAGCTCTTAGAATTTCTTCAATGACTTATACTTACCTCTGAGTCTGCCTAAAATTCTGCCTGAACTTGAGTCAAGCTTGTGTTCCCCATCATCTGAAAAATAAGGTAGATTTTTAAAATAAGCTAAAAAAATTTTTATATTCTATGATTAAATAATTATCTGTATTTTCTGTTACATAGCACAGACATGCAACAAATTGATCAGCAGCTGTAAGAAGCAAAACTAATGCTTTTCAGCTTCTTGATTAAGGTGAAATGATATTTCCTAAAAAAATTATCATACTACAGATGATCAGTGTATGCCAATTGAGCCATTAAGAAGATTCACATATAAGTTATCTCTGAGAATTTCATTCTCTCAACTTATGTTATTGTGAAGAGTTTACAGGAAGGACAAGAACTTTGTAATTTACAATGTGCACGACTACATCACAGCATACTGCAGAAGACAGCTTGACATTTGAAATGGTATCATTTCCCTTCAGAGAAGACTGGCTTTCTGGAAGACAGTGATCTGTGAATTTATGCAGGTCTTCCGGAGGAACTTTCTCTTCCCCCTCACAAACTATACCCTCCTCCCTGGTAACTCTTTGCATTCTTCATTTGAAGTACAATTAAACACCATGACCAAACTGTCTTTTCCTTCTATAATGCTCAGTTTCCATAAATCTTTGCAAGTTTACTTTTACCAGTATAACTGTATCCTGCTCTTGACACAGTAAATCCAAGGACTGCTTGAATCCAAATGGAATGCAAAGATGCTATTAAAGATCATATCCATTAAGAGCAGTACTGCAGTAGCCTAGAGTGTTAGCACATTTGATGTGTTAAACATGTTTGTGCAGAGCCAGGAAGCTGCACACTGAAATCTTCAAATAAATAACATCCAATTCATTTGCACAGCAATATCAGATTGCTGAATTGTGTACTTTGTCATAGTATGCCATAGCCAGTGGCAAAACTGTATTATTTTGTCTATTCTACGGGCATCATCTTATAAAACTATTTATGCCATACAAAATAAGAAGTGTAATGATCACACTCCTACTCCATTTTCTGAAAAATAAAGCTACTATATAATACGAATTAAAAGCAAACTTACATAGCATTGCAAGTGCCAATTAAGGCTCTCACAGCAATGGATGGAGGTTTATGGAAACATGCCTGACTCTCAAAATGCACAAGAGAACAACACTTATTCTCTTGTAAATGTTATCTGTTTGCATTTTGCTTATACCTTTATATTACCTGTAGAGTCTTTTGTTCTCAGCAATTTAAAGATTCCAAACTGAAAATCAAACTATGTTCAGAATATTAAAACGTATGTATTCTGGACAATAATATGAATATATAGTTGTTTCTGAGAAACCAATCTTTAGCCTGACATCAATTAAAGCTTTAGATACATGCTCTGAAAAGGCGGTGGCTTAAGATGTAATATGAAAGGCACAGGGGGATGCAGTTGCTGTGTGCACACTGATTCATAGTTTGCAACATCACGGTAACTCTTCAGAAGGTTAAAGGGAGAGTAAGCCCCTCTCTTCATACCCTTGTCCCTCAGTGCTCAGCAATGTTTTGAACTGTAGTAATAAAAGCCTGTTCTCAAGAGTTACTCATGGTTACCTCCATAGACAGTCGTCTTCCTCCACCGCATAAATACTAAAATTGCCAGAAGGACAACAACAGGAATAACTAGAAGAGTTGTAATAAGAACAAAGGAAACTCCAGTGCTGGCCTGTTGGACCATATGTTGTTTTTCCTGCTTCTTTAGAGGGTCTGTTGATTCTGGGTTGTTTTTCAATCTGGCTTCTACAATTGTTTCTGATTCTTTAAAAAGAATACAATTTCAGTATGTAGTCCACAGGCATCAAGCAACACAGAACAAGGAGTTAAGGAAAAGAACAAGCTAGAATACCTGAAGTATTGAGTAAAAAGGAAACAAAAGACAAACACTTATGGAGACATTTTTAGCTCTTGATGACGTTATCACAAATATAAGGCAGAGACAGTCTGAATGATAACACTCACTAGCAAAGATGCCCTCCCTTTTTCTCAAAAGGGGAAAGGAGAGGAGTCAGAGAGAATTGAATCTTAAGAGGTATCCATCATTTAAGATATTGGAAAAGGCCCCAAAAATCTGTTTTTACAACTAGCGTGTGATGTAATATCAATTAACTATCTCCTTTTGATAATAACACTTCCACAAGTCAATACTTTCCAATACAGAAATCCAGTATATGCTGTATTATCAAAAACAAAAAGGAAAGCATTTAAAGTTCTTTTTAATAAACTTGTGAAAAAGGGCTAAATTTTCAGAACTGCTACATCCTGTGAAAGAACTTTGTAAGTATGGAGAGCTTTTGAAAACTGCATCAAATCATTCCTGACTGATTTGCAACCTCTCCATCTGCAACCAGAAAAAAACCGTTTCAGTAAAATCCTCCAGGCCATTTTGTGTGTGTGTAAAGGATCACACGCTTTGTGCTTTCTGAGGCTGTAAAAACACAGGCCTCTCCTGTCCATTTATCAAGCAGAGGGTGACACAAAGTCCACAGGCTATCTGCTTTCTTCACGTGCAGCTGAAAGATATTAATGTCCATCTTTGCAGCCTAAAGCAGTTCTAGAGATTGTTATTTAACAACTCTTACCCTGGTGATACTACGGTACCACCAGCATTTTTCTCTCTAACATTACAAGTGTCAGCTAGCTTTTTTCTTTTCCTGAAGAAGCCAAAGTGCATTAATATACCCCTAGGTTTCTTGTACTGTGGGTGCTGTAATGTCAACACTTCCCTTTTGAGTGCTTCAGGACTGCTGATGTGCCAACAGAGATAAACCAGAAGGATAACAGTTTTGGCAATAAGGATTTCATTCTTTTATAATGCCAGCCTCCTTTGTCTACTTTAATCTATATGCTTGCAATTTGCCACCAGGATCTTTTGGTATTTTGCTCTGTCTGCATATGCATGGCTAAAGCAAACCATGCAAGCTCTGAATTCAACCAAAGAAAACCAGTTAATAACGTGTGAACACTTTCTAAAGGCCTCTCCATAGCCTGGTACTGTTTTTCTGAAAAGGAACTGAACTCTTCAACATGAGACCTATGTAACAGAATACAAATGGTTAATATTACTCTTCATCTTCCTGAATTTCTATTTTACCCCTTTCAATCTCTCTACATATATTAAGTTTCTACATGGTTTACATGTTTGGGTTGGTTTTTTTTTTTTTCATTTTCATGCAGATAAACTGAAAAAAAAAAAAGCAAACAGTAAATTTAGGGAAACAAATCTAAACAGAAACAATTTTTTTTTTTTTGCCATATGGTATGACTGTCAAGGCTGTGTACTGATAGACTCCAGAAAGATGAACCAACTGATATTTCAAATAACCCTTTTTTTGTGTTCAAGGGTTGTGGAGCAGGGGAAGAGAGCTGGGGCTAAGTATTACAGTTATATTTCAGAGCTATTTCTGCATCCAAGGGAACTGACACAGATACCAATCTGGACAATACCAGATGGTGGTACAGAATTAATTCACTAATTAAATTTTTATCTTAGTGTCTGTGAAGCACTCGTCACCACTGAAAATAAAATGTTTAAATTGGCTGTAAAACAGCATCTACTAGGTAGCACTGTTACAAGCTACCTTCCAGTGCCTCCTGTGCTAGCTCATTTTATCTGTATGAAATGATAGTGAAAAATAAAACAGTCAAACTAATTAGCATTTCTCCCTCCAACTTGGCAGAAGCAGTCCTAGTCTACGTAAAAACACTGGTTCCCTCATTTGCATTACCAATCAGACTAACCTTTTATCTCCTGTACCTCAATACCAGCCTTTTTAACTGACCGATGCTCCATTTCTGTAAAACAAAATTATTCTTCAGGACAACTGACATTTCAGGAAGACACTCAGTGACATTTTCCTGCTAGCTTTCTGAGACGTACAGTACAATCCTACAGTAAACAATCCCATCACCATCTGAACTTCACCAAGGAGAGTCAATAGAAACCATTCAATAGCTCCCAAGGCCACGGAAAAAAAAAAGAGCTTGATTCATGAAAGGTGTTTGCAATAATTAACTCAGAGAGATTTTCTGGGCATGTGTAAAGCTTCAGGAAGTCCCAGAAAAAATAAAACTGTTCATTATAATCAAAATCATGATGGATTAAAGGCTGGCTGAATCAGGGCTCCTCAGCTACTGCAGTTCTATACTGCAACAAAAGCTAAAAAGAAAATTATATACAAGGACTTTCTTAATCTAACTTATAAGTCATTAAATTTTTTTTTTTTCCTTTTTTTCTCATGTTTCTTTAAATAAAAGCCTAGAAGTGTTCTTGTTCAGGTGACTATATGCAGAAAGAGCTAAATCTAGTCAGAATTACAATTTATTCGGTCAAGTTTCCTGCAAGTAAGAGCAGCTGATCCCAGATGCCGCAAAGTAAAATGCATGAATTATAAACAAATATAGAATAACTAGCTTAGTCAGAATTTAATTTATATCATCAGACTTACTGGTTGACTAACAACCCAAAGCCTGAGGCTTTATCTCTCTCATGCATTTCTTTGTCCAATATAATGTAAGAGTGGATTATATTTTTATTCCTGTAAAATATCTAATCTCTCTCTGATTCCTATGAAATTAACGGCTGAACACTCGGGTCTCTGCCCCTGAAGTCAGGATGCCTGCCTCGATGGTTACTAGATTAGAACTGGGAAGTGTTTCCACTACATGGAAATTGGACTTCAAATTATATTAGACTCATTTTAGATTAGATAAATATGCCCAATGAAATGAGTATAAATTTTAAATTGACTTGTGTTTTTACTTCAACCCCTGGGAGTTTCCTGCAGGATCACCTCGGAGGAAGCAGTCTACTTCTCAGCAAATAAGACATCAAGTTTGCTAAAATGCTAAAGATGCTTTTGTTTATGCAGGTACAGACAGGACAAGGGACAGATCTATAATGAGGCAAATGCATTTTGATTCCTCCTGTGACAAATGAACTCATGTGCTCAGAACTCTTCTTTAACAGAGCATGCAGCAGTGCTGAAGAATGGTCTTTCAATGAAAACTGAGCAGTAACACACAACTTCTGCAGGCCGAGCTGGTAGCGTACTGAAGTCCCTGTCATTAAGCCACCCGGATTTTGGCTGGTTGTACAAGGTAAATGGTACTGATTTGAAGACACAAAATGTGAAATTGTGACATTACAAACATGAACATACTTTCTGTAGATGCAAACTTCCACACTGCTCTGGCATGAACGTCTCCAATAAATACTATTTTATCTTGTGAAGCAACAACATCATGTGGCATCTCAAAGCTCTGTGAAGATAAGCAGTCATAAAGTACTCATAAGTAATCATGAGGCCTCCTCAACCCTGGTCATATTCAGTCCTTAGACTGGAAAAAAAAAGCAGCTGTTGGCGTAAAGGCCTAAAATGAGCGAGCAGTGATGAATTCCACTTCTGTTGTATGTTTGCCTTCTCCAGGGATAATAACATGGAGATGATTCCATTTATTCATGCTAAACAGTTTTTATATTTATAATATTTACATTCGTATTTTTGCATTCATTTTTATTTATATATAACTATATATAAGCATTTAAAAAATAATGAATCTTCTTTTCAAACCCACATATTTATTTTTTTTCCAGTCTGCATGCAGCACAACTATTTCCTATACTTAGAAAAAAAGTAACTCTCTCTAATAGAATTTAAAACTGGACTGCAAATAACAGAGTATACATGCTACCCAGAAAGAAGGATCTTAACATTCATTATTTAGTCTAAGACAATCTATGGAAGCTTTTTTTAAAAAAAAAAAATCAACATAATTTTATGTTCAGTACTGTATGAATGAGATTTAGCCTTAATTTCCACACTAATCTTCTGTAAAGAGATGTAACCATACACTTAAATATTATTTCTGCCCGAAATACACTTTTGATTTTTTCACAGATTACTAGCATCTAAGCACATGAATATTTCAAGTCATACTTTTTTCTCTGAAATTAGCTCTTAAGAACTTCTTGACAACAGTAAAGCAGGCTTATCTGGACTGAAGGTATCTGCAGGAATCATCACAAGGGTAGTATAATTTTCCAATTTGTACCACATGTAGAAACTAAGATCCAAAATTCTAGCGTCAATATTAAGTTTAATATCATAAAGAATTCCTTTTGAACATCCTATATAATAAAACATCTCATTTCATAATAGTCTTATATGCAAGTTGGAGAAGTAGGATGTTAACAACACACTCATTTATATAATTACATGCACTAAACACTCTGTGCAATACTCTACCTTTCTAAGAGGAATGAAAGTATCAATTATTTCTCCAGTAGAGAAGTTCATCACAAATCCTTGCACTGGTTCTGCCTCTCCAGGATAAGGCATTCCATTAACTGCAAAGAGGAGACCACCTGCAACAACATTAGATTTGCTTCAACAACCTCACCACAGCAAACTACAGTGAAGATGAATGGTAATAGTAGAGATGAAAAAGGCTGTCTGAAAGACAGACAGGTGGAGAGAAAGATAATTCAGCAGGAAACAAAATCACAAGACAAGAGTTAGTAAAGGTATAGCAGGTGAAACTTTGGCATTTAAGAGATGCACATTTGTCCAAATGAAAGAACAAGCAAGGCAATATTTCACAGATTGGTTAGATGTAAAAATAATGTGGAAGTGTTAAAATAATCTGAAGAATGCTTTGCTAAGGATGCTTGATCTGACAACAAAAAGTTATTTATAGGCATCGAAAGCAGAAAGTCAGCTAGGGCATCACTGGGACCACAGGAGGAAAAGGTGTGAAAGGGGGACTGCTGATAGATAAGGGGCCTGTGGCAGAGAAACTCAGGTTTTGTCAGCTTTCTCTGTTGAGTATGTTGGCGTGATTATGACACTCATTTTTTTCTGTAGCAAAAAGGTCAGAAGAACCATCTCAACTGGGAGAAGATACCCAAGACGTGTTGAACAAGTTGGAGATAAATGGTTCACCAGGTTTGGATGGCATTAACTAAAGTTCAGAAGAAAGTCAAATGTGAAATTACAGACCTCAGGCCAAGCTGAATAACCTAGCACTGCAAACAGCTGCTCCTCCAGAAGACTAGTGGACTGCCAAAGTAATGCTCATCTACAAGAAGTGCCCAAAGTGGAGCCTGGGAACTACATGTCAACAATTCTGGCTTCCATCACTAGTATGACGATAGAATCCAGAATGAGGAATGAGGGAAGCTGTGGCATATTTAGAAACAAGCCGATAAAGATTCTCTAAGGGGAAATTGTGCCTCACCTTTCTCTGAACAGGGAGAAAAAGCACACAGATAAAGGAGATTCTGTAGACATACCCGTATTTTCAGAAAAACTTTGACAAAGTTATGCATGAGAGGTTAATAAATAATGTGAGTTGTCACAGGGCTGAATGAAGGATCCATTAATGAACAGGAAGCAAAAAGCAGATCTTAAGGGCAGAGCTTTTATTTTTTCAGGATAGAGAAGTCTGAGTAGTGTGATCCTGCAGCAATTAAAATCAGAAACCATTTTTTCAATAGTCTTCATCAGTGACCCAAAAAATGGGGTGAACAGTAACTTTTCCCAGAGTGGCAAGATGCTGAGTTCTGTAGAGTAGTCAAAAGTTTGATGGTATTTATAAAGTCCAGAAAGATTTTTTTTATAAGAATAAGTGAATTGTCAAACAGATAACAGAAGAGCTTCAGCACAGACAAATGTACAGTGATGCTTCTGAAAAAAAAAAATTAAATCTAGATCATGCCTAGATGATGTTTAGCTTGGAACCAGCAGCTACAGCTCAGGAGAGACATCTCTGAGACATCACTGAAACACCTCTGAAATCCTTGGCTCCATGTACATCATGAGACAAAATTCCAACAGAACATCTGGCTTCATCAGGGAAGAGAATTAGGAACAGAGGGGACAGTTTTGCCACTATGCAAAAACTTAGCATGCCTGCATCTCAAGTACTGAGTGCTTTTTTACCCTCTGTATCTTGAACAGGTCCTAATGAAAATAAAAGATGCTAGAAGAGAAAGCAACTAAAATAGCCAAGGGACTGAAGCAATTAAATGTTTTATGGGGAGAGACTGAGGTCACTGGTGGTGTTTGGTTTGCAAAGGAGAAGGCTGAGCAGATACGGAACTATTACTCACCAACTCCCAGAATACTGGGACTGAGAAGCTCTCACTGAAACTAGGTAACTTTTTAAATTAAAAAGAAAACAATGTGGATACTGGACTTCCAGAGCCTGTAAATGCAGGAGGTCAAGGAAGGATACAAAACAAGACAGCTCAAAATGGGATTAGGGAAACTTGTGGGGAATAGTCTAGAGAAAAATACTATGAAGCAGAGGTCAGGAGCTACCTCCTAACACCCTTTAAAAAAATGCTTGGGGATGCATGGGAAGGACAGGAACAGACCACAAATGCAGCCAGGCTTACACATTCTCCTCAGAATGCCTCCCTTGCACCCACTGTCAGAGACAGAGCTAAAGGTATCAAATATACAGAACAGCATTTCTTATGTTCTTGGCAGATGCAAGAGAGATAAACGTGACATTAAATTTGGTATCAACTACAGGGTCAGGAGTCAGACGTGCCCAAGTATGTCTGCCAGATATACATGCCAAATACCTCCAGTACCGGTACTAAAAATCTAACCCAAAGCCTTCATACATAATAGTTGATGAGGTTGTTATATTGAAACCCACAACTTTTTCAAACAGGCTGCTTTCAGATTTTTTCTTTTATGAAATTCAAAACTTTTCTTGTTAGTTTGGAACCTCTTTAATTTGCTGTCTTTATTTTATCCTCTTCAATGGAGCTTGAAATTAATATTTTAAAACATTGTTATTAACAAATCATTGACCGCGCAGGAAGCAAACAAGATCATCTTGTTGACATCCCATTTAGGGATTCTAATCAGTCATTTTTCAGAAGCAGAGATTATATGAAGATTCTCTCATCGTGGAAGCAGGAAAACAGAACAGTTCTAAAATTTTCCATTACATCAGCTCTGCTTTGGAAGAGAGCAAATATCTGGCCTAAGATAACATGAGAGCACTCTTCATGAAATAACACTGTGTACTGTAACATACTGGCGTAACATAACTACTTGAAATCTGAAGAACAGGAAAAAAGATTACCTGGAACATATGAAACTGCAAACAACTCTCTTCCAAACGATTTGTGCTTGATCTCGCTTACGAACTCTCCCGTCTCTAACCTGAAGCACTGAATTCGGCCATTTTCCCTGTCTGCAACACACAGCTGACCAAAGTCAGGGATCAAGGCTAAGCTGTGAGGGATACGAAACTGTCCAGGCCTGGCTCTGGCTAAAGAAGTCTCTGCAATACAAAATATCTGGGTTTGTGTTAAAGTACACACTGAAGCTAGCAGTTTTTACTTAGAAACAGCAACAGGTCATGTAATGCAATATAGCACTGGGAAAAGAATAAAGTCAGCTTGCTCTCTTCTCCTAGCAGTTTTATTCATTTAGGTAGGCAAACGATGGTATTCTTTTGCATTGTCTTTGTAAATCCTGGATTTATGAGTTCACTATTTCCCTATAATACTTGGCATAGTTTAATGCTTGATACATAACTGTGAGGCAGGGAGAAATGTAATTATTCACAGAACATAAAATAGATGGGATTGTGGCATAAATCCTGCAAAAATTGGAAAAGCTTATACTATTTGATAAAATGTTTAAGAAAAAGTAAGGTTTTTGTGAAAGAATATTTTCTTGATAAGATAGGCCATGGCAGCATGTTAGCATGCTAACAAATTTCCATTTTTTTTTTACTTTTAGTGAATATAGAACTACTACAAGTACATGCATGAACAGAAGAGAGAAAACTGCAATGCAATGACAAGGCTGAAATTAAACTAGGGCCTGGAAGGTATTTCAGTAATAGAAGCTTATAAATAAAAGCAACAGTAACATCAGCAATCTCATGGTTCCTAACGAGTTCACCGTAACAGCAATACAGGTAAAGCAGGAAGAGCTCTGAGCTGTACCTTCCCCCCACTGCCTCAGGAACAGCCCAGCTGCAGAGAACTGAACAATTCGGCTGTTGCAGTAGCCATCAGAGACGTAAACGCTGCCAGTGATTGGATCCACGGCCACATCAGTTGGTTGACAGAAATGATTTTTGTCACTGCCTGGTTGCAAAGCCACTCCTAAGGTCAGTGATGGTTCTTTGTCATCTGCTCCCAGTTTGAAAACCTTTTTTTTTTTTTTGTTTGGGAAGAGAGAAGAGGTTTCAGTTATGGAAGGGGAAATACATGAGGGATGACTCAGTGGAAGAATATTATTGTGCATAAAATTAATTTATATACCAAACATCATCTTAATATGTTGGCTATTACCAGTTCCTCAATAGCATTGATGCTAGGAAATTTATCCATGTCATACAAATAACACCTAACATACAAATTTCTTGTGATTATGGCAAATGAATTAGTTTTACAGTCTGGACTCAAGTACATAGGAGAGTCGATAAGCAAAGATGTAGAATAAAATTTTGTTTTTTTTCAAAAGAATGATTGTTTTAAAACAGATACTTTATTTCTAAATATTATGTCCATGTAGCAAATTATTCCATGCAACTATGTTCCATGAAGGCCAGAGGGGTCAATTTCTGTAGGCATGTTCTTAATGTTTATCTTCACAAGCCTAGATAAACAATTTATGTCAAATCTCTAGGAAAACAAAAACCTTTTAGGCAAAATATTAAGGTCCAGGTATTAAAGCTTCAAAAACATACCTGATGGAGAGCTACATCAGTAACCCAGTAGTTACCATTTTTATCTATACTCAAACCATGCGGTAAATAAAATCTGAAAGCACAAATGTAGAGGAATCAAGTTAAAAACATCTTTCAGGAAGAATGATGCAGATATGAAGATTTCACTTTTTATCGACAGATCAACAAATGCTGTGCATGCTGTCTACCTGTAGTATTAAATGAAAAAGAGAGCTTTACAGAATAGAATTTTCTTGACAAAAGTGTCTCAGCTCTGAAAGTCAGTTGATTTCTGGTATTTTGCTCAGGCTAATGTTTGGTATCTTTAAAGACAATACATAATACTGATGAGCTCTGCATTTCTGTTAACCTGGCTGATAGATGAAATTGTATGCACTGATAGAAAGCAGAGGTGGTAAAGACGGCAAATTACTTTTACTAGTTGTTGATTTTGTAACTATTATTATTTATTTAGTAATTTAAATTATCTCAGAGGCTATAATCACACAATGTAATACAAAGAATTTGTGAAAATGGGGTTGGGTACTTTCTGGAATAAACTATACAGAATTTCAAGTTCAATTAACAAAAGCAAAAACAACTTACAGACTTCTTCCTGTGGAATGAAGCAGGTTTGCATTACTTGGATTCAGGACAAGAATTGTGTTCTGTTCAATTGGTCCAAGCCCTCTTTGCTGATAAACAAATTTGCTGTCAAAAGAACTGCAGAAAAACAGTCAAATAGAAAGGCAGCATTAGAAGGTTACATGGATGAACATGCAGCTTAGAGCCGAGATTTGTACTTTAAAGTGTGGGGTTATTGGCTTGGTTTTTTTCCATTTAAATAAGCCTTTTTATATTACTGCATGATCATAAAAGTTATAGTGTTGGATATCTGCATTTCCTACTAAGGTTATAACTTTCAAACTAAAGGAGCACCAAATCAACACAGCAGCAATTAAGATAATCCTAAAGCAAGCAAGCAAAAAAAAGGTTCCTTTTTTTTTTCCTCTTTGCTGCAGCAAATCAGAAAAGGGTAATTAAACCATGTAGCCTAAGTAAAAGTATAGCTAATCACTAAGGCGTAACTGCCAGTAAAAACAGGTATAAATTCATAGTGTCTAAGGCAGTGTGTGCCTATTTGCATGTCTTTTTTTCTTTCCCCACCCCACCCCCCCTTTTCTTTTTTCAAACAGACTTCAGTATTTTGCTCAATCCTACTGTTGCAAGATTCATGTCTTAAGGTTCTTATTCTT